TCTTATCTCTCATATATCTGGGGTATCAATTGTAATGTGTCCTCTTTGGTTTCTGATTTTGAGTCTTCACTATTTTTCTAGTTTAATTAAGGGTTTGTCAATTCTGTTTATATTTTGAAAAAGCAGTTTTTAGTATCATTGATCTTTTCTATTTTTCTATTCTTTCATTTATTTCTGATGGTATTCGCTATTTCTTTCCTTCTAACTTGGGCTTCATTTGTTCTTTTTCTAGATCTTTGAGGTAGAAAGTTAGATTGTTTATTTGAGATCTGTCTTGTTTCTTAATGTCAGTATTAATCACTATGAACTTTCCTGGAACTGCTTTTATTGCATCTGTTAAGTTTTGATATGCTGTTTCTATTTTCATTTATCTCAACATATTTTTTAATTTATCTTTTGAGTTCCTCTTTGATCCATTGGTTATTTAAGAGTATATTGTTTAATTTTTGCCTGTTTTGAATTTTTCATCTTTTCTCCTATTATTAATTTCTAGTTTATACTATTATAGCCTGAAAAGATATTTGATAATGATTTTAGTATTTGGAAATTTGTCAAGACTTGTTTGTGGTATAACATGATCTGTCCTGAAGAATGTTCCATGTGTTTTGAGAAGAATATGTATGCTGCTGCTTTTGGGTGAAATATTGTGTGTCTCTTAGGTCCATTTACTCTAAAGTATGATTCATGTATAGTATTTCCTCACAATTTTTCTCTGTGATTAATCTATCCATTGTGGAAAGTGGGTTAATGAAGTGTCCTACTATTATTGTACTCATTTATTCTACCTTCAGGTTTGTTAAGATTTTTTTAATATATTTAGGTACTCTGATTTTGGGTATGTATACATATCTACAATTGTTATTTCCTGTTGATGAATTGACTCCTTTACCATTATAAAATGACTTCCTTTATCTCTTGTTGTGCTTTTTGGGTTAGAGTGCTTTTTGTCTGTTATCAGTATAGCTAGTCTTACTCTCTTTAGGTTTCTATTTGCATAGGATATCTTTTTCATTCCTTCAGTTTGAGCTTATGTATAGCCTTAAAGCTGAAGCGAGTGTCTTATAGTCAGCATATAGTTAGATCTTGTTTTTTTAATCCACTCAGCCACTTTATGTTTTTGATTAGAGAATTTAATCCATTTACATTTAACATAATTATTGATAAGGGCTTCTTATTGCTATCTTAATGTTTTAATTGCTGTTTTTTTAGGTCCTTTGTTACTTCCTTTCTTGCTGTCTTCTTTGCAATATGATTTTCTATAGTGTAATGCTGTGAATCCTGTCTCTTTATCTTTTGTTTTGCTTTATTGTTTGTTTTGTTTTACTTTATTTATCCTAGGTTTTGCTTTGTAGTTACTATGAGGCTTGCATAAAGCATGCTTTAGTTATAATAGTCTATTTTAAGTTTATGACAGGTTAACTTTAATCTCATACAAAAGCTCTACATTGTTACTCTCTTTCCCCACAAACATTCTTTGTTTTTTATTTCACAGTTCACATGTTTTAATATTATATATCCACTAAGAAATTATTATAGCTATACTTATTTTTAATACCTTTGTCTTAACCTTTGTACTACAGGTAAATGAGTTATACACCACTGTTATAGTATTACACCATTCTGAATCTAATGATATACTTACTTTTACCAGTGAATCTTACACTTTTATGTTTTCAAGTTACTAATTAGTATCCTTTCATTTCAGCTTAAAGAATTCCCTGTAGCATTTCTTGTAAGGTAGTGGTAATGAAAAACCTTAGTTTTTGCTTGGGGAATTCTCTGTGTCTTCTTAACTTCTAAAGGATATATTTGCAGGCTAAATTATTCTGGGTTGGCAGGTGGTGGTGTTCTTTTCAGTTTTTTTTTTTTAAAGCACTTTGATTATATCATTCCATACTCTTTTGATTTGCAAGGTTTCTGCTGAAAAATCCACTGATAACCTGATGGAGTTTCCCTTGTATGGGAGGACTTTTTTCAGGTTATCTGTATACATGTCTACAGACTGAGTAACACATAAAAGAAAATAGAACTGGCATGATATGTTTGCTCCTGCTGCTATCCCTCTGGCTTACTTATCCACTTACTGAAGCATCTGCCTAGTCTTCAGGGTCCAGTTCTTGGAAATTTGTTTTAATAACATGTTGTAAGTTGTGCATGTTGGAGTTGTTTCTATCTGGAGAAACAAAGTTGAATTTCTCTTGACAGTTAGAAAAAGCTGTTTCTGACCCCCACAGTGAACAACTCTGGTTGTTTTCTTTGTCCTGATATCTGCTTTTAGTAGTATAATATCTTCTACCAGGCCTGCTCTTGATATTTTGAGCTACTGAATATCCTCTCTTCTGCTTTGATAGCCAGTCATTCTTTAGTATTGTTTAGTCTTACAAGTAAACATTAAGCTCTGTATGTCAGCCTCTGGAAACAAGATTCTAACATAGCCACTCTCTTCAAGGATTTCGCTATCTAGAGGGAAAAGGAGGCATATAGTAAGCTAAAATGTAATGTGTAAGAGTTAAAGTGTGGTTTGATCACAGAACAGGGATCATCCCACCCGTGAGAGTTATGTACCTGTGTTTCTAACATCCTAGTAATTTAACCACCCTTAAGGTATTTATGTTGGGGTTCACAGTTGATACTTGTGTTAGAAGTTAGGTGGGTTGTGTTAACTGTGTTTAGTTAATGTTTCATGGAGAGACATGATTTCACCTTCATTTTAACCCACACAGCACATTAACAAGGTAGTTTGTCAAGATTAGTAGCAACATTTTTTGAGGGCTTGTTAGGTGCAGGATGCTGAGCTCTATATTGAGGGCATGCAAAGTTATAAAGCACAGTTCCTCCTTTGAAAAGGTACAGTATCCTTGGGGAAGCAATATTTAAAGAAAGGATAAATATAATAGAGCAACAACTTAAATTTCTACAGAATGCTATAGTTTTTAATATACCTTCATATTTATTCTTATGATAACCCTGTAAAGCAAGTTATTGTAAACACTTTATAAGAAAATTCAGTAGCTTCCCATTGTTATACAACTAACATGTGGCAGAGACAATAGTCCAAGCCACCTGACTCTAATCTGTAGCACCTTTTACTTTGATGTAGTAAGAATGGAGTGGTTCATGAGGAAATCAGAGGATGAGGTTTCACAAGCCCTGGCCAGACACCAAAGAATATTTCAGGCTCTGGTGTGCAATGAAGAAGTAAGAGTCTGGGCTGGGCCAAGACTAAAGGCTGAGCAATTAGCTGAAAGCCAGGAGTTTGAGTTGAGAGAATCCCAAGAAGCAGAGTCCAAAGGGAAATTTATTGGGAGAGCTGCTAGGAGTTTTGTGAAGAGATAGGGTGGAGAGCTGGAAATTTGTGGGGGCAGCTTTCAACCTGGACTGATTTCATACTTCCTTTTGAAGACAAAGTTCCTTCCTTCCTGCACTTAATGTCACAAAGCATTCTGAACCTAAATTTTAACAGGAATAGTAAGGTATGAGGATGTTTATTTGTAGTTTGCATGGATTATACAGTCATATGTTAAGGTTGATGTAAGGCTAGTCCTACTGCATATACTTCATTTCCAAGGTTTATGTGTTAGATTCTCACTGTTTGACTTTGCACATAGGTGAAATGTTTTATATCCACCACTTTTCAAGTACTCAGCAGCCACATGTGGTGGTTACCATATTGGACAGAATGGTAAACTTGGATTCTTTTTCTAAAAATGATTTTAAAGTAATACATGCACATGTAAAAATATTCTAAGTGTTCAAAAGGTAAAAAAATGAAAACTGAAAATGTCTTACCCCCCACCTTCTTCTCCATTTCTTTCTCTCTCTCCAATGACATCCACTATTAAAACTTTCTCTTATTTCTTTTCAGGAATAGGAAGGCATATCCATCAAAATTGTATATGTATAAGCTTTTTATAAATTAAAAATTGACTATACTAGGTATTCTGTTTCATATCTGTTTGTTTCATATCTTTAAAAAAATGTTATTAACACTCTATCCAAGAGGTCTTGACACAACTATGCATTTAGCTCTAACTACCTGTTTTAAAGGTTGCCTAGTATCCCTTGTTCAAAAATAGAATTTATCAGTTTCCTATTTTAGGTTTTTTTTTTTTAAGATTTTATTTATTTATTTGACAGACAGAGATCACAAGTAGGCAGAGAGGCAAGCAGAGAGAGAGAGAGGAGGAAGCAGGCTCCCTGCCGAGCAGAGAGCCCAATGCGGGACTCGATCCCAGGACCCTGAGATCATGACCCAAGCCGAAGGCAGAGGCTTAACCCACTGAGCCACCCAAGCGCCCCCTATTTTAGGTTTTTATGTTGCTTCCTTTTTCTTTCTTTTGTTATTCAAACAGTATTGTGATATATATAGTCTTTGTTTAGTATGTTTGTAGGGAAGAGTCTTAGCAACGCTATTGCTGGATCAAAGGATAAGATCACAGCCTCTTAAGAAGGGCTCCTAGTGGTCCTCCATGACAAGTGCTATTTCTAAGCAAGGAGGCAGTATAGAATCTGGGCAAGGGTTGGGTATAAAACACTAGATGGAAGGGGACCAGAGATAAAATAATGGTGAAGAAACTGGCTATAAGACAAGATGATAAATATCTGTACCAATAGTCTGAAGGGTGGCCTTTAAGTTTAATCAGTACAATCACTTCTTGGAGTATTTAAGAAAAAGTTTTACCTGTATATGTAGTTTATTACAATATGTATATATTTTTATAACTGCTATTGTGTTTAATTTTGTTATATAAATATTACAATCATAATATATTTATTATATATAGTTTGGAAAATGCAAATATAAAGCAGAAGACAAATTTCACCCATACTCAGAGAAAACTAATATTAATATTTTTATTTCTTATTTTTGAATATGTAGTAGTTTTTACATAGTTGAGATCATATTGTATGTACATGTGCTTATATTCAAATTTTGCTTATATTCTAATCTTGTTGATTTAATTTTCATTATTTTTTGCCTGCTTTTTTTTTTTTTTTAGGTAATAGAAATCTAACATTGTTTTGGAATGAATTTGGATACCAGAATGACAAGGACAAGGAGAAATCTTTAGATTCTGTTCAGTATCAAAGACGACAAGCCATGGCCATCCCATTCATCATTCAGTGTGGTGAGTCTGGAATTCCATTCCAATCAGTAAACATTTAGTGTGGTCCCAATAGCAAGTCATTGTGTTAAAAAATGGGTTGTGAGAGGGACGTGGATGGGACAGAGTCTTGCTTTCAAGGAGATTAAGGTCCTAGGAAAGGTTCAGAAACATGTGAAACTAATTGTAATAGAGATGAAAATAAGGTAAATGAGGTCAAAGAAGTGTAAAGTTACTTGAGGTTTCAAAAAAAGGGAGGTGGTGGAAGTCGAGGTCAAGCCTCATGACAGAGGTATCTCCTTTGATGTGGCTGCTTCATTCCCTTTAGTTGTGGAGTTTGTCCCAGTCTTCAGGTCTATGTCCAGGATATTTAGGGTGATGTGACAGTTATCTAGCAGTCTTTGTGGGATAAGGGGAGCCTGTGCTCCTTCGCCTATGCTGTCATCTTCGTCTGTGTCTCTCAAAGATAGAATTTTGAGAGGTGGAGTAGTGGGGAGTATGTGTTAATATCAAGTGTACACTTTAGCTAAAATTTTTGTGATAGAATAATAGAAACAGTTATTTTTAAATTTTTAATACCTGGCACTGTGTTAAATATATAGGGCTTAGTAATTGATTACTGAATGAATGATGAATGAATAATAAAAGATAAGAGTGTTCAGGTTGAGTAAACCTATTAGAGGTCCTCGAATGCCAGAGTAAGGACTTTTTACTTTGATAAGTAATGATGAGGCTTTGGGGGGTTTTCAGTAGGAGAACAACGTTACTGAGGCATTCAGCACTTAGGTTCATGTGCCTCTCATCCATCTTCTAGCCACTATATAAAGGGTTAGAGAATTAAAGATGCTCTTTACTACCTGCAAGGAATCTGCCATGCAGTGGGGAAGGCAGCCAGGCAAACAAAAAAGTGCACAATAGTGTGCAAAATTCTGTAGTTACTTACACTGTGCCCAAGGTACACTTGTCCCATCTTGTCCCTGCAGTGGTCCAAAGAGGACCCGAGTGTCATATGTAACTTGTGGTAAGGTAGCTCTGGCAGCTCAGTCTAGGATGATTCGAAGTAGGCCTAGCCCCAAGGTTGAGGTCAGACCTGTGAGGAGACCACTGGCATCATCCAGGATCCAGGGGAGAAATTATAAATGTCCAAAGAAAGGCATGGCTGTGCAATTTCAGAGGAACATACACGCCACACACTTAGAAGGAATAATTAAGGAAACTGATGATGCAACAATATGCAACAAGCTCTTGGTTGATAACAACAATGGCTAAAAGTTACTGTGTGTTTTTGATGAGTGCAGGGTACTGCCAGAATCCAACTTCCAGTATCTTTGAGCTGTATGAAATTGGGCAAATCCTTGAATTCCATAAGCCTCGGTTTTCAGATTTACAAAATGGGGTTAGTATTTGTAGCCACATCATACAGCTTTGTGAAAAAATGAATGAACACATATGAAGTTTACTAAGTGCTTAGGATGATGTATTAGGGTTCTCCAGAGAAACAGAAGAAAAAGGACGGATGGATGAATGGTTAGACAGATAGATATTAATTTTGGGGAACTGGGTCACATGATTAAGGAGGCTGAAGAATCTCAAGACCTGCAGTCAGCAAGCTGGAGACCCAGGAGAGCCACTGGCTTAATTCCAGTTTGAGTCTGAAGGCCTGAGAATCTGGAGACCTGGTGATACAGTTCCAGTCTGAATGTTGACAGGCTTGATACCAAGAATTGCTGACCTCGTAGTTTGAGTCTAAAGGCAGGAAGAAAATTGATGTCTCCGCTTAAGACAGGACGGAAACCTTACTTAAAGGACAGTAAGCCTTTTTTTGTGTCTATTCAGGCCTTCAGCTGACTAGATGAGGCCCATCCATGTTAGGGAAGATAATCTCTATTCAGTTTATCAGTGCAAAAGTTCTCATCCAAAACACTCTCACAGACACACTCAGAATAATGTTTGACGAGATATCTGGGTACCCTATGGACCAGTCGAACTGACACATGAAATTTACTGTCATGAATAATGCCTAACAATGTTGTCTTTTATCATTATTATGTCATTTAATCCTCAATGATCCTTTTGGGTAAGTGCTAATATTAATTGCTTTTTACAGATGATGGTACTGAAACATAGACAAGTACTTTGTCCAAGATCATAGAGGTAGTAACTGGTAGAGCTATTCCAGTTCTTAGCCACTGTGACTTGAACACTGTGTTCTTAACCAGTGTGGATACTGCCTCGATTTTAGATGAACAGAGAATATTTACCTAAGATCCATTACCTGTGTATGTGGATAGAATTCAGGATTAGAGTTGAGAATAACCTGGAGAGACTGGAGTGCCTTGGTTCTACAGGCAGAGAAGGAGTGACAGGAAGAAACAGACAAAAGAAGTCAGAAACTGTAGGCTGGAGGGTGGGGTAAGAGCAGGAGACAGGTGCAGAGTGAGGAACTGTGTAAATGGTTCAGAGAGCTTGATTTTCCTTGTTATGTTAGTCATGTGGTTGAAGATGGAAAGTGGTGTTGGCAGCAGAGGGATCGTAGGTCAGAGAAAATTGAAGAGTCAAGTCCCTAGAAGTCTTCCTGTGGTTCAAGAAGAGGTGGGGACCTATTAGCAACATTCTTGTGGCTGAAAGAGCAGGAACCAATTGGAAAGAGCTTAAGCAATAACAACGACAACAATAATTAACAACAGTTTATTGGTGGTGTCTTGACGTAGCTTATAGAATCCAGGCTAGTTGTGCCATCAGTTATAAAGGTATGTGATCATGGATTCACTTGTCTCTGGATCGAAAGATACATCATACTTTTAGTATGTGCAATCTAGTATGTTACTTGCTACGTTCCTTGTGACTGCTCTTTCTTGTCTGTGATTTTGTTTTCATTATCAGATCTTTGCCTTAAATGGAGAGTCTTGCCTTCTTCTATTACTTATCAGGAAAAAGAGTTTTTTGACCTCTGGATTTGTGCTAATAATCCTAACCTCTTGGAAAACAGGTAGTTTTTGATGGTTTTCTTAAGTTCACTATCCATCTTTAATTTCCAAAATGCATATGTGTGAAACTGGAAAATGTCAATGATAGATACATTTTACCTTAATAGCAGTCATCCCTGTGAACATTTTCTAGCTCCTTGCCACCTGTGGAAAGATACTTCGTTAGTGTGCTTTTCCATCAAGATAAAGGAGACCTGCATGTAACTATTTGCAGACTTTGGGATGTGCAGCTCTGTGCTTCTGCCGGCAGGAGACAATGACCCACTGTTGGAGTTCTGCCTTCTACGGCCTTATTGTAAAGGAGCCTTATCCAGAGGGTGTCTCCAGGGGCACTAACCTGTTAGACCATGTGCTTTTTCTATTTAAGTCACATATTGATTTCATTGTTTTGTGCTCTTGGAGGAAGAACTTCAGGCTAAAACAGGAAAAAGACCAATTAAGTATTGATGAATGTCACTGTTATTATAGACCCTTTAGACTTAATGTTATTTTCCTTGGGGAGGGAATGAATGAGTATCCCCCTTTAATGAAGGCACCCCTGAATCAAACGTTGCTTCTCCATGGAATTTTTTCTAAGTTCTTTGGCCTGGATAAGTGGATCAATATTGCTAATACAGACATTAGAGTAATAACTCCTGTTTTATTATTTTTATCTAGCCCTAAAAAAAATAAGGGAAAATAAAACACACACACACACACACACACACACACACACACACACACACAAACCAACATTTAGAAACTGCTGCTACTACCCTTGCTACCTGGAATCCCCAAGTTATTGTATTTAGAGACTAACAAAAATAGCAGAGGTGGTAAGGGCTCTTAGATTCCTTATGGCCGAGGGCTTTCTAGTCTCATTTTTTTTGGTTTGCAGCAGAATCTGTTTTCCCCAAATAAAATTTGTTCAAACCCCAAATACATAAGATAAATGCAGAACTTTCCTGATTAAATTGGAAGCTGGGAATCTGAGGGCCTGAGACTCCACTTCTCATTTCTGTTCTGTACTCTCTGCAAAAAAGGGAACCATGATTATAAATTACTGATCTAGTCTCACTCCTTCATTTTAGAGAAGTGAAAATTGAAGCCTGATGGGGGCTAAGAAACCTATTCATGAGGCAACTGGCCAAGGTCTCTGACTCCTAACTGGGTTCCAGCCCTGGCTTGAAACTTAAGTATCTCCCACATAGGATCCAAGAGTTGGCTCGGTTTCAATATTAAGAAGAGTTACTCATATTGATCCCTTCCTATGAGCTAAGAACTTTTCCTGCAGCATTAGGATAGTGTTTAGAGTTCTGACTCTGGTGGGGCCAGGCTGCTTGTGTTTGACTCCTCGGGCTCCATTAGCTGTGAGATCTTGGATAAGTGACATAACCTCTCTTTAACTTGGCTTTCTGTCACTTAGAATGGGGTGTAATTGTAGTATCTTTTGCGTCTTCTCTGGGTCCAGCTGAGCCCCTTAAAAGACAGTTTACTAAATTTACTAAGTTCCTGGTTACTGGGAGCTTCTAGGTCCCTCTCTACAGATCTAACCTATATCTGTGACTTCTTAGCCCAGTCTTGGGCATTCCTGGACCCACAGAACTGGTATCTATCCTCTACGGTTTTCCCTACCTCCAGCTTACCATTGTCTGTGAATCGGCACATTCTCAACCTTTCCTCCTTGAAAAGTGATGATGGCATCACAGAGCATTGCAAAATTAGTTTCAAAGCATCAGTTCTGGCTCTTTTATACATCCAAACGGTGCCCCTGGTGACGACAGGCAAGAGAAATTTAGCCACATCAACAGAAAACTGATGGTCCTTCAAAGCTTAAAATGCAGATTTGTCTTATAATTCAAGTCCTTGATTCTTGAAATATAATGACATGATTTTGACCATGTGTATTTCATTTCCTCTGAAAAGATTAGGACCCAAAAATATGCTTAATGTGACAGCAAGCAATTTGGGGGCCGTGTAAAGAAAAGCTCCTGATTATGAGGGCAATTACTTGAGAGTTGACACTTCCTTTATTGGAGGACATTAACGGCTCTGGTTCAGTACAGTGGGATGGACCCTGTGTACTTTGAGAACATGCTCTGAAATAGCAAAACTTTATGCCATTTGATTTGGATAGAATCCCATAAAATCGGTGTATGAAAGTGATGAGAAGTACAGTATAGTTATTAGGTAACATTCGGTGAATGGAAGGCCTGAGTAATAGGGTAAAAACGTGGCATTGTCTGTATTTACAGAAAGTAGAGTGTTATTGTCAGCAGTTAATTGCCAATTGTCAGCAGAGTTAATGCCAATGAACAGCATTTCAATGAACATGTCTGCGTAACCAGAACTTAGCAGGAAACATAGTAACAGCTTTCTCTTACATAGCAATTACATATGTCATCTCATTTCCTCTTTACCATAACCATATGAACTTGCATCATTTCTCAGAGGAGGAAACAGTGAGGGCAGGAGAGGCCCAGTGACTTGTCCAGGATGCCTCCCTAGAGCTGAGTCTTGAAGTCAAGCCTTTGGATGCAAACCTGTACTCTTGGTGCTTTATCACACCCACTCTCTGAAGGCTGGCTCTCGACAAATTTGTTTTTATTGGACTATAGTTGACACACAATGTTACATTAGTTTCAGGTGTACAACACAGTGATTCAACATCTGTATATGTCGGGCTGTGCTCACTGCCAGGGAAGCTCCATCTGTCACTATGCAAATGCTATTATAGTATCACCCACTGTATCCCTAGTGGTGCCTTTTATCCTGTGACCTGTTCATTCCATAGCTGGAAGCCTGTGTCACCTGTCCCCCTTCCCTCCTTTGGCCCACCCTCACACCCCTTTCCCTCTGGCAACCTCTGTATTTAGAAGGCTGATTCTGCTTTTTATTTGTTTATTCATTTGTTTTGTTTTATAGATTCCGAAGGCCTCCTTGTACATTTCAGGAAGCCTCATGCCAGTCATATGCTCAGTGGTGACAAAATGCACCATTTTACAAATGGTAGTGTTCCGAGCTGGCCACCCAGGCAGGGTAAAATGAAGCCATTCTTCTTTGGACCACCAGAGGATCTTTTTCTTTTCCACTTTAAACATAGAGGGAGGCTAGACGTTTTTTTATCGCAGTACTTGAGGAATAGGTACCCATAGACTTCTATTACATTCGTGTTATGCATTTATATCTGCATTTGGAAATAGGGATCACCAGCAGGGGAAAAGTGATGCTTATCATTCGCTCGAACCAAAAAAGCCTGAAAACGATGTTTAAAATATCCATGGGTCATACTGCAAGTTAAAGCTTTAAAGATCATTGAATGGATTGTGTTTGATTAAAATCCTTGAGGTTTCTCTCTTCTGAATTAAAACTTAATGTTTTTAAGTTAATGTTCATTTTCTCAAATGAAATAGAAACCCATATAGGTACCACCTCAGGGTCTTCAAATCAGTACTGCAGGTGGCTGTATTTATAGTCGATGCCCCCTGATTGGTTTCTCTACCCCCCCCTTTTTTTTTTTAAATAACAATAACAACCAATACCATATGTGGGTGGAATTAAGTGTTTTTTTCAGTTGTACTTGAATATGATTGTAGCTCCTCACTCTCCTCTCTTGCTAGGGGGAAGGGAAAAACACCCTGTAGCCTTGAAGAACGGAAATCATGGGTTTGATCTGCTTTGCTTTCCTGTGCTGGTTCAAAAGGGAGAAGGCCCTCTTTCTAGCCTCAACCTCCTCCTCTCCGTCCTAGCTTAACAATACATTTATTTTATACAAACTTTGCCCCCTCCTTTGGGTTCCATCAATAATAGAAAAACCCTTGTGTAAAGCAGGCTCTTAGAATTGACCCTGACATTTTGCTCCACTCTAGAACATTCCCAGCCTTACCCTGAATCAAGCCACACCCATGGGGAGCTGAACTTCTTATCCTTAACAAGCCTCGCTACCAGGGGAAACAATATAATAGCTCAATTTTTTGTTTGTTTGGCTAACTCAGCTCCCCAGAACATAGCTGGGGAACCAAAATTAGGGGGAAAACTGGACCCGCAACCTCTTGAGCCATATGTTTCAAAAGTCATTAGTATTTTATATGACTATAAGGAGGGAGGCGCTCATTCACAGTCTGCTTACTGTCCATCTACATACAGTTCAGCTTGATTATATAGTACATGAGTTGAAACAGCACAGCAGTAAGACTGGGAAGTGCAGTGGCTGCTGCGGCAGGGGAGGGAAGGACGCGTGATTGCTACAGCCCGATCCTGAGGCTACTCCATGATGAAGGGCTGCTGGGGGCACGGTGACCCGCAGGCCTGTCACTGAGCACAACACCCCATCCCAAGGGTCCCTGCTCTTCACAGTCAGCCTTCACGGTGGATCCAGAAGCAGAATTATTTGGTGTCCTTCATGAGACATATAGATCCCTATCTGACATTTTTGGGGAACAAAAAATGGCAATATTGAGATAAGCTTCAGTATCTAAAAGCATTTTTGCAAAAGACCTCGTTTCATGATCTTTCAGGGTAAATGAAGCAGTTGTAAAAGAATGAATATATTCTCCTATTCTTGGAAGTAGACCACCCTCCACGTTTTCCCTTAAGCTCTTTTCCATGTGAACTGGCGATTTAATGTCTCATATTACCTCAAGTCACCGATATACACTGCTCTTCCTTTGTATCCAAATTTTGGATATAAGGCATAAAGAGAATCTGTTTATAGAAGTAAAACATCTTGTATATATACAGACAGTAGTTTTATATTTCCTCCTGACGCTGTCTCCTGTTGATTCTGAAGTTGTCATCAGGCTGAACGCCTTCCTTCCATCCCTCTGGGCACCATGAGCTCGGTGTCACCATCGAAAACTGAGAAAGAGAAACACCTTCAAGAGGTGGTCCAAAGGTATCACAATCGACTGGCAGACCCACAGCCACAGGTGAGCTGTTATTCTTTCCAGAATCTACTAGAACTCTAGAGCTCTTGGTTTTATGTGTGTGAAGGAACTAATGTGCTTTACCCCTGTAAATTGTGTAGCTTCTTTTTTCCATCCTTTTTTGTCACATTCTTCTAATTTTGACTCTAAGGACTACTCTAGAGACAGGCACGAGTGCCCCAGGGGCTCAGGAAGGAAGGAGAGTTAAAAAAAAAAATGAAAAACTACCTGTCATATTCAAGCCCATCTACACAACAGCACGTGAGAGGAACAGGGGGATTTATTTCCAGCCTGCAGAGGCACAGAGAGCTTCGTATGGATGACACGGTCGAGACTGGGACATAAGTCTGTATGCTTCCAAAGGCTAGGCTCTTTTTGTTTCATTGAGTTTCTTCCATGAGGGTGGATTTTTGAGGTGAAGAGTTGTTCTTTTAAAAAAATATTAGCTTACGGGCACCTGAGTGTCTCAGTAGATTAATCCTCTGCCTTCACCTCAGGTCATGATCTCAGGGTCCTGGGATCAAGCCCCGCATCGGGCTCTGCTCAGCAGGGAACCTGCTTCCCCCGCTCTCTCTGCCTGCCTCTCTGCCTACTTGTGATCTCCCTCTCTCTGTCAAATAAATAAAAAAATAAAATCTTTAAAGAAATATTAGCCTATGTATATATAAATTCAGTGTCACTTAATTGTTAAGAAAATTCAATAAATAAAACATAACTATTCATAAATATGAGTAACCGTGATTTCAAGGGGAAGAAAAAGTGGTATGGAGAAATATTATTTTAATCTCTTAACTAATGAGGTAATTAGGTCTCTGTTTACTTTATAGATTTAATACCCAAATTCAGCACTTTTAAATTGGATAGCCTGTCAGCTTCCTCAAATAGAACTTGAGGAGGTCAGCAGCATATGTCCAAATGTGTTGACTCCTCTGTAAATGTCAGGAAATAAAATACTTGAATAGCAAATTCTCTAATGGAGCAAGAATAGATTCTCTTGCTTACTACCTTATTATTATTAGTTATATTCCCGTGCTTTTAGAAGATCAACTTTCTTCTCTACCTCATTTCATCTTCTTGCCCCTCCCACTTTGCTAGGGATCTGCCATGCAAGTCAGTCACCACTTGAGGTCACAACCAAGGAAATCTGACCCTCCTTTTTAGTCTGGAGTCTCTGGGTCTCTGGGGAAGACACTGAGAGTCACTTTGCAAACACATTCTCAGAAGCATTCCCCGTCCCCTCAAATTGGTGAAACTGTCTGTAGTTCTTAGAGCTTCTGGTTGTGGGTTTGATAATAGAGGTCAGAAGTAAGGGTATCTCAACCTGCAGTTTCTTTAATTGACAAGCAGATAAGGTCCGATCTTTCCAACATGGAATGTCTTCATTCTTGTTAGCCACTCCCTGTAGATTTCTGAAGGCACACAGTGTCTCCTGAAGTGCCGCTGCCTTTATTGCAGTCTCTGAATGCTTTTTTCTTTCCTGTGGAGGTCAGAGCTGACCCTTGGATGTGCCAATCACAAAGTCTTGAATAGTGCCAATCACAAAGTCTTGATTATCTTTTTGTTTGTTTAGTATTGGATGTTTTATTCCTTACTAAGGTAGAGATTTTGAGGGTAGCTCTTGGGGTAGCCTATTTGGGCCATCCATTCTGCTTATTCTTTCTTGGTAGTTGAGTTTTTCATAAGAATTTCATAAGCCAGGTTTATAGATTCAGTCTGTTTGATGTGTAAACAAAGAAGGTTAGCAGTCCCTGCCTAAAGACTTGCTCCCATCACTTCAAAGAACCAAGGAATCCTCCCCCTCCTCGCTTGCCCCCTTTCGTGAAGGAAGGTAATTCCAACATCTTTAACTCCCTTTAAGTAGTGCCCTTAACTGACCCTAATTCTGCAGTCCTCAAGGAAAGCTTTGTTTAGAGTTCACCAACCATGGCCAACCAGTTAACTTTAAGGAGGTCATTGATCACGTACTTGCTTTTGGGTCTCTCCCCTGCCAGGCATTGTGGGGAAGTTGGAGTAATTCTTATACCACGGTGTGAGCTCTTTGAAAGCAGAGATAGTCTTGGTCTTGTTCAATGTAAATCTGTTACCTAACACAGTGCCTGGCAAGCAGTAGGTATTCAGTAGTTGTTGGGCCAATATACAGAACACGCACTCAGATAATAAACAGTCCTTCCCTGGACCAAGCCTAATAGCTATTTGAAAATTAGCGACCACCGCCACACGATGCTAGTTCAGTATCTGTCTGATCACAACTGAAACCACTAGAGAAGTTTATGACACAAAGTGAGTGAGGGCAGCTTTATTCAAAAAAGGGTTCACAGAAGAAGTGGCACTTAGCTTGTGTCTTGAAGTCTATTTCAGAGAATTAGGGGAAATGACAGGGCAGGCATTCTAGGTGAGAAAAACATTGTAAAAGAAGACTTGGAGATCAGCACTGACTTGTTCCTTCAGGATGCCAATCCTTTAAATTATATGCTAAACTTATGTATTTTAAAAAATAGACTTAGCATCTGTGTGACATGTCTCTCTTTTAAAGACCATGTAACTCGTTATAAAATATGGTAATTGTTGAATAGATGACCTCTGGAAGGTGACCTCAATTCCCCTTTCACAAAAATAACCCATGAAAATATTCAAAAATTGTATTTTGGTGATAGCTGCCTGATGCCAGAAACAAGACTCAAAACCATCCAATATTCATTGTGAATTTGCTTTTTTTCCTGACTGCATTTTAAAAGAAGTTCTGTCAGAATACGACACAGGCAGGGCTGGGAAAGGCAGGAAAATAGGGCATTAGTGCCCTTCAGGTACAATGCAGACATGATTCAAGTGTAGAGTAGATACCACTGGAAAATCAGGAGCTTGCTAGCATGTGACCATGATTCACTATGTCTGCTGGTGGTGCCCATTCTCCCATATCCAGAAATAATAAGGTGCTTGCCATGGAATTATGGTCTGCCCCCTCTTTTCTTTCTCCCTGCCTCCCTCTTCCAGTGCCTGCTTACTTATCCATTGACTAGACTGGGAAACAGATAAAAAATGACCTAAGTCTGCATATCCCATTTCTTACTTTCTCGTATTTCATCTTTCATGGCTGAAAGCATCCTGATCTGGAAAAATGAAAAGTTGACTAGGTTCATTAAAGACCTTTCTGGATCTTAGATTCTGTGGCTCTGGGCTTTGTGTTACGGACAAGCAGGAGTGATCGAATAATGGTAGCAGAGATAGTATCATGGTGGTAATATGTGAAGATGGCAGCTATACCCTCTTTTCCACTCCTCACACGCCCACCTGCTGTGTCGAGTGACTAACTCTTAGAAGCAGCGCCTACCTGATTCCCTGGTTAGACAATGCTTGCAGTGAGTCAGGAAGCTTTTCTGGTAAGAGAGGTAACCACTGAGACCGGTGGTTAGATCGGGTTCTCTCCTTCCCAGGAGTAAATGAGGTAGCGAGGTCCAAAGCTGTCATTTCCACAGATGGTTATTTTATGAAATCGCTGCAACCGGACAGTTACATTAATTATAGCAAAAGAGGAAAGTAAAGTTCAAAGACGTTAAATAACTTGAATCGATCACACATTTTTAAATGGTGAAGTTGGAATTTGTTTCCTTTTTGTCTAATTTCAGCAAGGATCTGCTCAGTCTCATAAGGATAAACACACAGAAAGGACCTAAGAACATTTGCAAAGGCAACAAACCAATACATTGCAAAACCTATTTGTTAAGGAAAATACTGAAGTTCAGTAACCTAACAGGAGAGTTCAAATTCAAGATGTAATTGATAAACTATGTCAGCAGCCCGACACCCTCTCTATAAATTGTGCTTCCAAAACAGCCCATTCCACTCGTTCTCCTTTCCAAAGGGATGAATGAATCATCTGTTCCTCGCTCCACTTTCAAGTTCATGCCTCTGTACCTGCTGTTTTCTATACCAAGTGACAAGTGCCATCTGCTGGCCACACAATGAAGCATTTTCATTTTCATTGTGTCACTCTTGACTGCTCAGCTACTAAGTGGCGTGTTACTTGAATAATTGTTATTCTGTTTTTTCAGTAAACCTAAACAATAATTTTAAAACCATAAAGTTGAGTTACATAATCAGTTTCTCTGCATTCCAGGAACTTTCCAGTCCTCAAATTTTCCCTTTTCTCAGTTTGAACTTGCCAATTAGATTCTCGTCACCTTCTATTGTGTGATGAGGATGGCAGCATCATAATCGTACACATGGCGTTTGGTTTTAGGTGCACTCGTTCAGGGTGTTGTGGTCCCACTTTTTAAATCCACTTAATGCCTTTAGTCGTTACAAAACAGATCATAACCTGATTCCCTGAATAAAGCCTACTCTATTACCCATTTGTCCAGACATACTGTTAATGGGTATTTGTTTATATAATTCCTGCTCGGACAGTGTGTCCAGTGTCACTTATGTATCCTGTAGGGCTTTCTGGGTTCATCTTTTCTGATTAATATTAATTTTTAAAAGGATTTTATTTATTTATTTGACAGAGAGAGACATAGTAAGAGAGAGCACATAAGCAGGGGGGAGTGGGAGAAGGAGAAGCAGGCTCACGCTGAGCAGGGAGCCTGATGCGGGGCTTAATCCCGGGATCCTGGGATCATGACCTGAGCTGAAGGCAGATGCTTAACGACTGAGCCACCCAGGTGCCCCTAGTATTAATTTCTTATCCTATAGTCTAGGCTCTCCTTAATCTGCCACTACTTCCTTTCCGGCATTACAGTGGACCCTTGAACAACACAGGTTTGAATGGCACTGGTCCACCTCTGTGGATTTTTTCCCCTGATAAATACAGTACGGTATTATAAATGTATCCTCTCTTCTCTACGATGTTTTTAATAACATTTTCTTTTCTCCAGTTTGCTTTACTGTAAGAATGCAGTATGTAATCCATCCAACATACAAAGTAAATGTTCATTTGACTGTTATGAGTAAGTCTTCTGGCCGATAATAGGCTATTAATGGTCAGGCTTTGGGGGAGTCAAAAGCGT